CAAAGGATAAAATACTTGTTTTGGGAGACTACAAGAGAGACTATAGTATCCAAATTCCAAGTTATCATGCAAGCAATGTCGGATTATAAAATAAGAATTCTCATATTATTGGCTTGTTGAGAAGCCCTTCCATCATTGAACCATCTCACATTTCCTTTATCTTATTTCATCAAATGTGCTTACCAAAAACATGGTGGGGAATCAGAATAATGTGATAATGGATGAGAGGGATATGGATCCTGTTAGCATGTGGGAAGAAATTAGGAGGAAATTGATGGTATTATATGCTCGTAGACGATATCTGGCCAATAAATGGGTAGGTTTTTTGTGTCGAAGTATCGAAAAAACTTCAAATCTTGAGCCAAGAAACTCTTATGTGGGTGGTTGAATCAAACGACAATGGTGAGGTGGCAAAACAAGCAAGTTGTGGTAAATTGAGAGAGAAGAGTACATGTAGAAAGTGAGAGTTGACTGTTATTCCTTGTGAACATTACATTCAAGCAACTGGTAGGGCAAAACATATAATTTATGACTATGTGGCTAAATTTTACTCCAAGGAAACAACTACTCAAATTTATGAGCTCTCCGTATTATAGCCTGCTAGTACAGGATATTGGCATGTTTTTAAACTAAATGAGTTTAGAGTTCCTACTCTTCATGACTCATTGAAGAGATGAAGACCAAAGAAAGGAGGAATAAAGGGAGTTTTTAACAATGAAAAAGGTAATAAAAAAAATAAGAAAACGGAAATATAAAAGTGTCAAAACTAGAAAAGAAGAAGTACAAGTGGATTATGGAGAACTTGGGCATAACAAGACCTTTCATGTTAATCGAGAAGCAAAGAAGTTTTCCAAAGAAACTAGGACATAATAAAAATAAGAGCAAAAAGGTGGAGGCAACTTGAACGGGCATAAAGAAATAGACTTGCAACACTAAAGAAGCTCCAAGCAAATGCATCTAAAGGCGTGACACAAGCACCAAATTAGTCACAAGTCATCCAATTAATGCGAGATGTAAAACACATCTTCTTTTTTCCATTTTTCATATCCAATATGCTTAATGTAACAAAATAATATCATCGAGTTTTGCAAGGAATTACTTGGAGTCCATCAACGAATTGATCCATTGTTCAGTTGGATGTGAGGAATGCATTTCTGGACGATGACTTAAAAGAGACAACTTATATGGAGTGACCATCTAGTTATGACAAGAAGGGGAAGGATGTGGTCTGTAAGCTTTGCAAGTCATTGTATGGTTTGAAATAGGCATCGTGGGCCTAGTTTGAAAAACTTCACAACACTATTCTTCATGCGAGATTTTTATAGAGTTCCAGAGATCCGTCCTTGTTCATGCAACATACTTTTCAAGGTATTGTGGTTCTACTACTTTATTTAGATGACATGATTGTGACTAGCAGTGATGTGGAGGGCATTCAAGATTTAACTCACTCTGCGTTTAATGTCAATGAGCTTGGAGAGGTATCATATCTTATGGGGTTGGAGGTTACCAGGTATGAAAAGGGATTATTTGTGAGTCAACGGAAGTATGTGATAGATCTGTTGGAAATTAGTGACCACAAACCTTGTTCTACACCGATGGTGCAAAACTTGAAACTCTGCTGGGAGAGTGATGAACTTTTGGAGGATCAGACATTTACAGAAGCATAGTTGACAGCTTGATCTATCTCACCCACACGGCCAGATATAGCCTATGCAGTTCAAAACGTGAGCCAGTTCTTGGGAGTTGCTCGCACTACTCATCTGGACGTCGTTCACTGCCTCCTGTGATATCTAATGCATACACAAGATCTGGGAATGTTCTTTCCTGCCGACAGTCAACCAGAGTTAGAGGGCTTTGCCGATACAGATTATATAGGGTGTTTGGATACTCGGCGGTCTATGCTAGGATGATGTGTTAGACTTTTTCGATCTTTTATTTAATGGCGCTGAAGGAAAAGTTTAAAGTTTCAAAGTCATCAACTGAGGCTAAGTATCGTTCAATGTCTGAATTGAGTTCAAAAATGGTATGGCTGCAACGATTATTAGACGAGCTAGATGTTGAATGTAAGATGCCAATGAGAATCTATGGAGACAATACCAGTGCTATTGAGATAGCCATTAATCATGTAATCCATGATCAGACCAAGCATATAGAGGTTCATGTTCACTACATTCGTCAGTTGGTTGCAGAGGGTAGTATACAGGAAAGTTACCTGTCAATAGAAGATCAGACGGCAGACATGTTGACTAAGGCAGTTGCATCGAGTCGGCATTGGTACTTATCTTGCAAATTGATGTTGGTACTTTGAAATCAATTTGAGGGAGGGTATTAATTGTATATATTAAAGTAGCATTTTGTAAATATGCAATGCAAATATCGGCGAGGGCATGGTTACAAACCTATATATACTCATGTAAATCTGAAGAAGAGTATCAAGGACTAAGAAAGCCTAAAATTTGTGAGGGAAATCCTCACCATGCACTAGTGTCCCATTGACGAAACCACGTTAACAAAATCTGGTGTTCTTTATTTTCGTGCATATTTTGACACAATCAACCTTTGACCAAAATGTTGTCATTCCATACCTTCCTTCTAATCCTTTCCACCTCCACACAACATGTGTGAATCGACCCACCGTAGTTACAATAGAACCTTTCTCATTGAAAGAGGAGATGAATGGTTGTAGTGGGACACGAGGAGAAGAAGAGAATATGATTTCTTGTTGGTCTTGGCGACGAGAGAGAGAATAGGAGACTAGAAGCAAATTGAATTTAATGAGGCTGGATCTTATTGCAATTTAAAACAAGATGAAATAAAACATTTGGAAATTAGTTTTCAGAAGTGGATTTTCTGGATTTGTGACGGGAAACAAATGGGAGGATATAGAGGAATTCAAGGAGGCTGTCGGATTCTTGCCTTCTGAATAAGAAGTTTTTGTTCTTTTGGATGGAGTGTCGAGAATAAAGGAAAGGCAATCGACGAAGGAAGAAGAAAAGAAAAGAGAGAAGAATCGTTTTGGGAGGAATAAAACGGAGAAAAGAGTAGAAAAAACGGGAAAAGCCAAGGGCAAAATGCGAATGGTTTGGTGTCTCCATGCTATTTACAAATAACAGGGGGTGTGTTATTTTGAATAATGTGTTTCATGTTGTTTTCAAACAACTCAACCCCAGATAACGCGTCTCAATTTTTTGAAACCCAACAAAAATATTTTGGCTAAAATAACTCAGCTAAATAACCTATCCAGAAATTTAAAAGAAATGTGTTATTTAGAATTAAAAAGGGTATTAATTCGTTAGATTAACTCACTTTTTAGTTATTTGAAAATAATACAAATTGAAATCACTCATTGATGCATTGGTTTAGTAAAATATTTATTTTGACCTAAATAATTTATATAAGTTATTTGGATAAATAACCCATCTAAATATCTCATTCTCATTCAAACGACAGTAGAATAATGGATGGGTTTTCAATGATAAGACTGACCAATTGAATTTGAACACACAGAAAAGGAAAACAGGGGAATCACGGGGAAAACAAAATATAGCTGGCTTTTATAATTTGTAAAGAATATAGTATGTTAGGGTTTTAGTCAACCCATTTATAATCATGGGCTAGGGATTGTTGTGCTGAAAAATTTTATATAGTATTGGTGTTATAGGTGTTTGACTTTATGGTACAACTTAAAATTGTACATTTACGTTATGGTACAACTTCATATTGTACCTATACTTTTGGTACAAATTCTTTTATGGTACAATTTGAACTTGTACCTTTATGTGATGGTACAACTTCAAGTTGTAAAGTTGTACCATAACGGTACAAATTGCTTTATGGTACAACCAAAACTTATACATTTAATATTATGGTACAACTTTAAGTTGTACATTAAAGCACCAATACTATATAGCATAGTAGAAGTGCTCATGATTTCAAACCATAGCTATCATTGGATAAGATCGAGTTATGTCAAATCGTGATTGGGTATCCGGTATTCTTTCACTCTCCCTTTCCTGTTATTATATATGTTTTCTCATAAGTTGTTCTCGTGTATGATTAGGGTTTGAGAATTGTGACTAATTAAAAACTTAAGTAGGAAAGTTGTCAGGAAAACATAAGTATTGGAGACTATTGAGCGAAAATGAATGGGCTCGCCATAATTAGTGAGCAAGTTTAATTAATGAGTTTACCAAGTTATTTCACATTTGTTACTAAAAATATTTTATTTTATTCGTGATCATTAAAATTAGTTCAATAATCTAAGTTTAGTCACTAACCGTCTAACTCTTTTAATTTTTTTTTATCTAGTACTCAACTCTTATAGTTGACCGTTAATTGTGTGACGTGACATTTAAAAATAACAAATCCTCTTTTAAATTTTCAACCTAAATTTTGAAATTATTAGAAAATAAAATTTTAATTTCCTATAATCCCCCAAACCCTACCCAATTCTGCTTCACTGGCCTTCTGTACTCATCCTTGATAATAAAAATCTCTTAGGTTATGCTTGGTCTATCTTTTAGAAGTGATTTTCTATTTTAAAAGATTAACTAGGGTCAAACACCTCTAAAACATCGATTTTGGAAAAGCTGAAAAGTATACGTATAAAAGCAGAAGCTACGAATTGGAGCTTCTAAGAAAAATTATTTTGAAAATATAATATTAATATTATTCTTGCCATATTTAATTTTACTCCAGAAAATATAATGTTATTTATTTATATAATTTTGAAAATAGAATAAATTATAAAATATATTATTTACTATACAATAGATCTATCAAGATTCATTTGAATTCATTTTTATTTTTATAATTTTTATTTATATTTTATATTAAAATACTTCCATAAAATACTTCTACAAAAGTGCCAAACCAGCTCATAGTTATGTTTTGATTGTCTGGGAAAATAGATTATTTGCCCAACAACACCCGATTGCTTGCATACCCACCAACTTCCCTCAACCCCCAGGCTCCCAGGGCACGATAATGGCAGTCGAAAACACCATGTAACCTACCTGGCTGGTAGTCCCAGCAATCAACGTAGCGAATCCAACCTTTTCGCCCTTGCCCTCAATGGCGTCATGGCTGGTGTTGGCCAGCTGACAAAGGTGTCATGAGTTCTTGAGTAGAGAGGTGAAGGTCAGAAAGTTGTCCTTCATCTCGCTGGTCTCGAACCTGCGTCTATTACATCGAGGACGATGATGCTCATATGTTACACGAGGAAAAGAGGAAGAAAATAAGCCATACTAGAATTGTTGAGAATCATGAATTAGAAATGTCGAATAAAGAAAGAGTTTATGTGTAGTTATAGTTAGGGTGGCTATGCGGTTTGGTATGGTTAAACTGGCCCTGATTTATCTGGTCACGGTTCGGTCTTTTCAGGAATACGAGGACTAAAGATGGGATTGGATATAGTCCAGTCTTGACCCGGTCCGGTCTTGACCCAGTATGGTCCCAATCCGGTCTTGATTTTAGATTGAGCTTGTGGGAGTTTGAGTGGGCTCAGGCCTTAAAGGATGAGGAGTTGGTCAGGTTTTAGGTGTTGGATCTTTTATCCGGTCTTTTTCGGTTTCCGGTCCGGTTCCAAACGATTTTTTACCTCAAATCTAAGCCCGAAAGGTGGATTGAATTATTTGCTATCCGATCCCAGTCCGGTCTTGGTCCGGGTTATGCAGTTTGGTTTCGGGTAAAACCAAAAAACTCGGACCAAAATCCACCCCTAGTTATAGTCACACGTTAATAATTTATTCCAAAGAAGGAAAGAATCGGGTATGGTTTGGGTGATTAGGGGATTATAGAAGATAAAATTTTATTTCTAATAGTTCCAAAAATGTGGAGGAAATTTAAAAGATAGATTTTTTTATTATTTTTTAATTATCACGTCACACATTTAATGATCAGCTATTACATGTTCGAAAACCTAAACAATTATCGAACTAGCCATTCTTGGAGATAGAAAACAAGATTTAGCTCTATTAAAAGGTGAGTCTACCTAGCTTCTTGAAATGACAGTCTAAAGGGAGAAATGACACCTAAGTCGCCGTTCTCACCCTCGAGCTTCTGATAAATTTATGATTTCTGGTGAGTTTCTCTGGAAGCAGAGTAACCCCATGTTCAACTTATCTTCAAATGAGGTTCGAGGGATTTTATTTATAGGCATTTTAGTCATATTTTTTCAATATTTTTAGTAGGAGGGAAACTCTCCCGATCGTATATCTTCAAAATATCTTAAACTTGATGCCAAAGGAAATAATATACGATAAGTTAGAGTGCAAAACCATCTTGTGGAAAAGGGAACCCGAGCCACCATTTTGGAGTATGGTGGACAATTGGGCCTCCATTTTTGGACTAAGCTTCCAGCTCCATTTATGGCTTCTAGCTCGTACAAGGTGTACCACTAGGTTCTATGGCATGATTTTTTTTTTATCATTTTTTAATTGTCACGTCACACATTTAACGATCATCTATGAGAGTTTACCTGTTCGAAAACCTAAACAACTATCGAACTAGCCACTCTTGGGGATAGAAAACAAGATGTAGCTCTATTGAAAGGTGAGTCTACCTAGCTTCTTGAAATGGCAGTCTAAAAAGGGGAAAATGGCACCTAAGCCACCGTTCTCACCCTCGAGCTTATGATAAATTTATGATTTGTGGTCCCATGTTCAACTTATCTTCAATGAGGTCCGAGGGGTTCTATTTATAGGCATTTTAGTCATGTTTTTCCAATATTTTTAGTAGGAGGGAAACTCTCCCGATCGTATATCTTCAAAATATCTTAAACTTGATGCCAAAGGACAGAATATATGATAAGTTAGAGTTCAAAACCATCTTGTGGAAAAGGGCACACGAGCCACCATTTTGAGTATGGTCGACAATTGGGGTCTCCATTTTTTGACTGAGCTTCCAGCTCCATTTATGACTTCTAGCTCGTACAAGGTGTCTGCTGGGTGATATCGCATGAAAATTCACAAAACACTATCAAACATTTGTCAACAGTATGAAAACACAGCTAGAAACTACTAAACACACCATTGACCAAATACAAAAGAAATTCCAAGTCATAAAGGCCAAATATATGTAGAAAAGTGTAAAACATGCCATAAAATGAGGTGATAAAAACGTGCATTTTATATGTCATCAAAGAACTCCACCCTTAAACTTTTATTGTCCCCAAGAAAATCGTACTCCAAATCGTACAACTCACTAGCTAGACTTCTGTGATGACACGTAACTTTTGATCGTAGGTAGTGGATAATACGTAACGTGTAAGTTCCTCATATCCCCTTCAATCTCTTCTTCCTCCTACAGAGCAATGAAGAAAGAATCCTACTAACCTGATCTTTGCCAAAAATTAACCCAAACCCAAAACTCTTGCAATGTATCCCTAATTGTCGATGACAGCACAAGAAACAAAAATTAAAGAATAACAAAAAATCTTCAATCCAATTGAGAAACAGAAAATCGCCACTACCGTTGTTGGGATTTGCATTCTAATATTGGTTATTATTGTTGTTATCACCATTTTTGTTGTTCTTCTGTAGAGAAACGCTAACGCTCAAAACATTGAAACTATAAACAAAAGGGGAAGAAAGGAAGCATGAGGCGGTTAGTAATGGGGAGTGTGATGGACAAGAATCGGAGTACCCATGGAGTGAGAAGGAGTGAGAACGAGTGAGCGGTGAGGTTATTTTCGGTTTGGTGATAATCCCTAGGCAGGTGGGTTTGATCAGAGAAGCACGGCTAGGTTTCAATTCAAAGATTGATTTGAATTTCGGTGAGAAAATAACACAAAAAATAGGGTCTTGTGTTCGTGTTTCAGAATGGAAGCTTTCGTGCAACTTTCACGATGGGGAAAGAGGCTCGATTGGTGTCGTCGATGCTTGGCCACAGACAAGGTGAGTACTTGAACGATACAAGCTAAAGATCAAACCCAGAATCGGCTAGGTTGATCTCTCAATTCACAAGTCGAAATCCTTATGAAATCAAATTCCACGTTTATTATTCAATTGTGCAAAAACTAACGATTGCAATGAAACAATAAGCTTAAATAGGCCTAGCTAGGTTAACCCTTGTCTAAACAAGTCCTAGTTACAATCCAAAACGAGAAAGAATAAAAAATCAACATTGAAACAACTAGCTAATCCTAATCCGATAAGGATTCGAATTCTGGAATTTCCAAAGGCAGCAAACATGTCTTCAAGCGATCTATGGAGCTTTCGTTCGAAGCCTTCGAGGAACCAAATCAATTACTCAATTCCTTGCGTGTGTAAACTGAAAGCTGTAGTTTGATGTGGAGCAAACCTTTGGACTCGAATCCCAGCCATCTCTCTTGAATCAAGCTCCAAAATTAGCTTCCTGAACTAGGATTCTGCCTTAGCCAAGTTCTGGCAGTTTTCCTATTTCAAGTGAGCAACTTGATCGACATGAAAAACAATCTTCTGGACTTCCTCTCGAGCTCCAAAGCATGTCATTCGAAAGAGCAACTCTTCTTCTTCAAAACAAGCCCAAGAACTCAAATTTATACCAAGCCAATCACGAGTTGCACACGTCCAAAGTTGACCACCTGAAATGATTAAAAGACTTAACCAAAAATTAGTGCTCTTCAATGCTCTTGAATTGTTTTTCGATCAATCAATCACAGCCTGGTTACTGACCAATTTGAGATCACATAATTTGGGATTTGAGGATTTTAGGTCATTAGTTGTGGGTGTATTTTCCTTTTCGTTTTAGTATTCCTTGTTGTGTTTGAGATGGGATAGCCGAATAGGAGAGGAAGTTCGAGTAGGTTTAGGTTGCGTATTAGGATTTTCTAGCCTATATATATGTAAGTTGGTATTAGTTCAGGTTATCAAATTAATAAAACAAAGATCTTTCTACACCAACGTCGTTCTCTCGCTTGTGAGTTACAAGCAAAACTTCCTAACTGAGAGTTTCGGTTTATCAATTGGTATCAGAGTCTGGTTATGCATCCTACAGGGATGGGTGGCAGGACCGCAGATTGTTGTTCCACATTGGAGGCAGTCGTCGAGGAGATACAAATCATGCTTCAAGGCAACATGGAGGCGGTGGATGGGATAGAGGTGCAGATGACGACTGTGGAGGGTATTTTGCAGACAATTATGGCAAAGCTGGATGTGATCATGCCGCAAAGGGAATGCAAGGGCGTGATGCCCAAGATCGGCAGAGAGGAGAGCGCTGATAAGAAGGACGGCAAGAAGAGCACGACCGGGCCCAAGGGCGACGATAACATTCACCACGATTGGTTGACGACTCGTGGGAGTTGCGGCGGGAAGCCCGCCGGTGATGAAGGAGTCCGAAGCAGAGATCAGCATTAGTTCCAGTTATTAAATTTAAATAACTGAGGTATTTCGACACCAACATTGCTCTCTCCCTTGTGAGTTACAGGCAAAAATCTCGAACCAAGAGTTTCGTTTCATCAGTGAGAAGTGAACATTGGGGACGATCACTGAGAATCTTGGGGTATGTTGTGTATTGGAGTGTCATCGCCATTGGTTCCCGTTTGTTAAGATCTATTTGTTCGTGAAGCTAGGCAAAGATTGAGTTTTGGGTATGCTTTTTACTCGAGCGTTGTGTCTTTGTTGCGTGGTCGGAAGAGATGTCTATCGACAAGAGGAGACGAGTGTCCTTACTCTCCTCCGCCATCTTGTGGTTGTTGGGCGAGAACGGTTAAACACATGCAGACTCTTATCTAATCGGCGTTGCCGATTCGTACATAGCAGATATCTTAAGGGAGTAGCGGGTTGAGGAAAAAGGCAAGCAAGAGCAAATCGAAGAAAGAAACTGAGGGTATATTTGGAATAACTAAAAAAATGATAGGGATAGGTTGGGAAAAAAATAAGAAGCTAGTGACAAATTTTGAAATAGCTGGGGTGGTCAGTTATAAGTCTCCTTTCCAAATGAGGGATTTCTGGAAAATATGTAATAACGAGGGATTTGAGCGAAATCCCTCACCCAAATCCCTAATCAAAATGTGTTATAAGTCTCGTTCAAGTGAAATTATTAGTGGTATTGGAGAGATTAGCGGTATGAGGAGGGTTTCTCTAAGTCATTTCACCCCATTCCAAATATAAAACATGTACATGCCCCATATCGTTGTGGAGGATGTTTTGTATCCTCATCTCCAGCGGTTTTGGATACCCATGGGTAATAACCGCCCGTACATCTAACATTACTTTATCTAAAATTCAACATTTATATATTTAATTATAGCACCAAACAACCTTAATACATAATAAAAACAACAAAGATACAACTATTTTAATACGAATTCAACGCATTCAATCATAAAACACTAAACATACCTAATAAATCATAATTCAATAAAGATACAAATATTTTAATACTAATTCAATGCATTCAATCCTAAAACACCTATTAATCTATAAGAAAAGTATAATATTATCCCAATATTTGATTTATGACTCTGACATATTTATTAAGCATAATAACTAACATAATATTGTTAAAGGAGAGAAAGACGTGAAGGAAAAATTAAGGTTTGGTTTGAGTGAGCACTCAATTATATTTCAATTCTTTATTTTTTTAATATCTTAAATTGACCGAAACTTCACACTAATAGACTAGCTTGATCAGTAGTTTCTGAATTACCCATCATGGCCTAACCTATGATCCATCTAGACTAATTTGGGCGAACTCAACATTTCCCAATGATCAATAGATCATGTCATTACTATGTCACTAAAAAAAATTAAAAATTAAAAATATTTTCACTAATTATAATTATTTACAAATAACAAAAAAAAAATTAAGAAGCGGCCCCTTTGGCACTGCTCTCACTACTTCCCCTGCCTTCTAGCCCAACGTCACCTCCAAATCCTCCCTTCCTCCGCCAAGTCAAGCCAAAATAAACAAACAATATAAAGATTGGGTTAATACCACTACAAAATCCGAACTATAAAAAAAATTCACTTTTGTCCAGACCTACTCAATATGCCAAAAATCTCCCAATGTATGACAGTTATGTGTCATTTGTGTCCTAACAATTTCGTCGACTGTTATAGATAATGATTGACTAATTGGTCATCCGTAAATGTTGACTGTTGGTTGCAAGGCACATAAGAAGCAGCCCCTTCGGCTCTGCTCTCGCCGCTTCCCCTGCTTTCTAGCCCGACGTCACCTCCAAATCCTCCCTGTCCCGCCAAGTCAAGCCAAAATAAACAAACAATATAAAGATTGGGTTAATAAGACTACAAAATCCGAACTATAAAAAAATGTCACTTTTGTCCAGACCTACTCAATATGCCAAAAATATCCCAATGTATGACACTTGTGTGTCATTTATGTCATAACAATTTCGTTGACTGTTATAGATAATGATTGACTAAATAGTCATCCGTAAATGTTGACTGTTGGTTGCAAGGCACATACGTGACGGCCACATATGTGCCACATCGGCTGCCACATCATATTATTATTTTTAAATGAAAATTGACATTAAAATAACAAAAATAAGAAATTAGGAAACTTGGTGGATTCTTCCAGGATCGTCGTTGGTTCCTTCTGCCTTTCTCGATGACAGACAGAAATCAACCAGACTAGAGATCCATTCCCTTCTTTTCGCTGATCAAACAAAGACGAACAAACACCAACTCTCCTAGCCACCCCAAGCGTAGGCATACAAACCCGCCTCCATTTTCCCCAGCAATTCTTGATAGATGAACTCAGAAACCTGAAAAATCTATCATCCACTGAATAACTTAGCAACGCCATGATCTGGCCATTGATTATCACAGCAACACGGAAGAATCGCCTAGCAACCAAAGCATGGGTGAAATCAACGAGGTCGGCGATGGATTGAAGGAGGAAGAGAGACATAAAGAGGAGGGGAAGTTGGGGAGGAGATGATCAATGGGGATTTCAAGCTAGAGTTTGATGGCAAAGCCCCACGGAGGATGACAGTGGCCAAAATGAGACTTTGGTTAGAAAATGTGCTAAATTGTTGAAATTCTAATGTGGGAAGATGAATCGTGGAGGGAATTTTAGTAGGTTTTATAGAGGAAAAGGGGATTGACCTCAAGGAACAATGTAAATTGTGTGTGTGACAGATGATGATGGTGAGATTGAAATTGGGGGATGCTTCAGTTATTGGTTTTTATGTTTTTTCCGTCGTGTTTTTTCCTACTTTAGTGGCGGATTTTCGGAATCGAAGTACTTCAACAACAAAAAATCAATATAATTTAGTTAAGCGGACTCATCGGCGCTCCTTGTCGGTCTCGTATGCAATGTAAGCAAGGGTTCAATAAGTGGGAGAGATCAAGTAAGGTGTGAGGAGAAGGGGGAGAGTTCGGAGAAGACTACGAAGAAGGGGGTCAGGAGAGGTATGAGTTTTTGATTTTTTAATTTATATTTTATTAGATGGAAAAATAAATAAAAGTTCATATTAAAGTTACATGTCATATGCTACATCAATTTTGAGTTTTTAATTCTGTTAAATAATATCGGTCAATCCCAATCAACACTAATATAAAAAAAATAGTTCATGACATTTTTGGAATATGAAATAGTTTGGGACATAAGTGGAATATTGAAACTCCAAGGCCTACTACTTTATCATCGCCTCCCTATTGTGGCCTTTTTTTAGTTTCTTGGCCGATCCATCTATAGCCACCGCTCTGCTCAATTCTCCTTTTTGTTTTGCAAACCGCGGAGGATCTTTCCCCTTGATTGTTTCCTGACCACCCCAAGAATTGGAGGTGAACTTGTTGTAGAGATCTGTGAAGGAGAGAGTTTCTGAGGATTTACCCTAACTAGTGAGGCGACGCTTGATTGACTCGTCGATGGCGATGGCATCGGGCGCGATTGAAGGGGTGAGCCTGGTAGAGAGAATATTGATGACTCGATATTTGCACATGTTTTTGCCCACCATTCTTATACTGTTTGAGGCTCGGATCTCGATTTTTAAGCTAATTTTACGCTAGGTTGTTCTTGTTTATGACATTACAGGTCTTAATGCGTGAATGAAGGTTTGAGCATGAGTTTGGGGTCGATTGGGCAAATTCGGGACGAGCGAAGGGAGATCAGACAAGTTTCACGGCCAGGAAGGGAAAGTGCACGGCCGTGCATGGTTGCCTTTGTGGTTGTGCAGGATTTACCTAGAAGCTAAACGGCCTGACCCTGTTTTTCGCACAGCCGTGCACGATGAAATTGTGGTCGTGCTGATTCTGTAAGAGCATTGCACTACCAGGCTCTTGGATTGCAGGGCCGTCCAATGACCCTGCACCCCCTGGCTTAATTAAATGAAATGGCGCGTTTAAGGGTGCACGGGCAGACTATGGGATTGCACGGTCGTGGGAGTGCACGTGCGGGCAGCTGCAAAAAAACCCCAATTTCGGGTTTTGGAGAGAGAGAATCAAATTTACAGAGCAAAAACAGAGTCCTAGAGAGAGAAAGTGCAAAGAACAAACCCTATAGTTGATATTGGAGCTGGGTTTCATCAATCAAGCTTGGATTTCATCCATGGAGTGAAGATTATCATCCCAAAGCAGATTATTCCCATCATTATGAGTATGACTGCTTTGTATTCTGTTTTCTTCTCTCTCTCTATGGAGTAGAACTCTTTCTCACTTGAGTATGAAGAACCCTAGTTCCATGTGTTAGGGATTTGAGTTGTAATGACTTTTGGATTGATATACTGTTTGATTATAATCGATTGAGGTGTGTTTATTGAGTCAATTGAATCCTGATCAACTTCTCTTGATTTCTGCTTCAACCTGTGATAGATAGAATCTGAATAGGTTGTTAGAGCTTCTTCAATCGATAGTAGTGAATTGATTATACGAGAGTTAGTTAATTCACTGCTTTGTACTGGAATTCAATTCCAGTAGCGGAGTTTTGTGCTAATTGCCTTAGCTTTCTTTCCCGGTGAAGACTAGTCGTCTGTCGGTTAGTCTGTCTAAGAGGGCTTGGTCAGCGTAAGAGATTCCAAACTACTGTCGCCTCTTCCGCAGTTTAATCAACAGTAAATCAACCAAAGGGAATTACAACTTTGACCTAACTAAGGAGCTAGGGGGATTCATTTCCCGAGTGACTCTTCCCTTGCTTTTGAAAATCGAACAATTTCATGCTTTCTTACTGCTTTTGTTTACAATCACTCTCACTAAACTTAGTCCCGCTAGATAATAGATAATCACGGAGTAGGCAGTAGATCTAGACGTCGGGTTGATAAATTGAACTTGCCACTATTCTGCATTTCCGGACTGCAATTATACTTGGTCGTAGTTTGGTGTTGTGTAATAGCGTGTCAAGTTTTTGGCGCCGTTGCCGGGGACTCTAGGTTATTGTAGAAATGTGAAAGTGTGTTATTTTAGCATTTTCTTTAATGC